GACTAACTTTTTTATATTAAATTGAAGAGAAAGTCAATTTATGCTAAGATGCAAATAAATCGCTAAAAACAGAAATTTCAAAACCCGTATCTATTGGAGACATAAAAAAAAGTTTATGGGGCCACAACTTGACGCTATCAAATCTTCCTTTAAAGACTTTCGCCTGAGCCTCCGAAGACAGGGTTGGTATACCTCACAAGCAAATTAATTATAGTACATAGTAATTCCAAGTGTTAAATTCCAAATATACGTCCTATTTTAATTTTTTAAACACATTTAAATCGGCCGAATTTCTTAATACATTTCATTTAATTCATACGGTCTATTTTTCTAATTGTATACATAATAAACATCATTAATATAATAGAAGGTAAATTATTAAGAAAAAATTTAATAAAAAATATAATTTAACCTCTAATAAACTAATTTCTTAATCTGTATGAAATCAACTAATGATAGATGTCTTCCTTTTCAAAAAATAATAAAAAAAAAGAAACAACTATATAGAGGTGGAGCAGTAAAATTAATCAACAAATATTGTCTTATTATCTAATTCAAAACAAGAAGTGGCAGCAAGCCGATCACTACAGTCGGGTTGCTAGAAGAATGGACGGCAGCCACACATTACAAAGGAGAAATAGTGCTTGGACCAAAATATTTTGGAGGAGTGTAGGAAGAGGCAAAAAAAAAATCTTTAAAAATTTTAGAGGTTAAGTATAATTTTTTTTTTTTTTTTTTGATATTTTGGGAGATTTAAAGGTTAAATTCTTTTATAAAATAATTTTATAAAAAAATTATTGGGGATTCATGGCCTTAAGTCACTACATAGCTCTGCCCTTGAGCAGCCATGCCACCTGGAGGCAAGCTACTAGAGGTTTATAATCAAATAAGTAAATGGAAAAATTAAAATTGTTTCCTGAATTAATAATCAAATCATACATGAAAATCCTATTTTCCAAAAAAAATTAATTATGAGATTTCTAAATATTAAACACTTTAGTCATTCTATGCCAAAAATAAAGTCTTTGGATTGTCAATTGAACCGAAAAAAATTTGATCTCTAAATTGTAGTCAAATAACAATGAGGCTCTGAAGCTTATGAATATCTTACTAAATCCGTTTAACCACTTGAAATTATCTTATTTTGGATAGAAGTATAAACTATTGATAAAATCATAATTTTACGGTATACCATAGTTCAGTTTTTTTGAAAATATATATCTTCATATGTTAATTTAACTATATAAAGTGAAAAATGAAATAAATCGTAAAATGTGCAAAAAACTGGAATACTATTAGATAAAAATAATATTAATTAAAAGGTTTTTAGGTTTTTCGGGGTCGTATATCAATCGGGTAAAAATGTTGTTATGTAAATATTTAAATGCAATTTATAAAAATTTGTTATGGTTTTATGAAAAGGAACCTTGTGATCAATTGTATATTTTTGTTTTTGTTTAATTAATACAATAACCATAAATCCTAATTCCAAACTACTTTGATTTGACTTGCTAATGAATCTTTTTATTATTAATTATGTTCAGCGTCGACTTTATAATAACAACAATAAGTATACTCATATAAGAATAAATAATCGAGCCATAGGCGAATAAATAGCAAAAGGAGCCTTAATCGAGATTAATTGGAGAATGAATAATAATAATAATAATAATAATAATAATAATAATAATAATATAATAATAAATAATAAAATAATAATTTACGTCCATCGTAGAAAAAGTATTCAATGGCAAATATGGAGTATGCGCTGTCTAAACATGTATTGTACAATTGTGTATTTCCTATTTAGCTAATAAAATATGGAAAAAAAAAAAAATTAAGTTTCAGAGAAATGTGAGCGAAGGAGTTTAGATTTTAAAGCCTAAAATCGTCCAAAAAAGTTTCAAATTTAATGTTTTTGAGGTAAATTTGGTTTAACATTTTAATTTTGTGGCCAAGTATATCTCAGATTAATTTTTCCTTATCAATTACGGGCTTGCACGTTTTTTTCTAAAATCTATTAGTTTATTGCTTATTTAGCCGTTAGTTTTTGTCGCGCACAAACATGCAAGCCTCGCATTCACGATGGTTAATTTCTTGGCAGTTCATCATTTACTTTTAGAATCTATAAGTTGAAAGATTGGTAATTGTTTGAGACAATTTTCCTTTCTAATCGTCCACAAGTTTTGAAATTTTTTGAATATAGCCTTACAATTGACGGACTCCTCATAGATCATCTAAGCGAACAATTTGCACCGTTAACAATCTCAAATTTGCCCAGCTTCACTCTCAGAGTTGCATCACTATACTGCACCCCAATCGAATTCTAGATTAAGGCCAAAGATTGATAATAAAAAATAAGTAATGAAATATTGATTGATAAAATTAAAAATAATTAGCCAAAATTTGAAATAAAAAACTAAAAAAATTCAGAATTTTTTTTATGAATTAAGCCTTTGTGTTAAATAAATATAGCACGAGTGGAAGGCTATGAGGTTTTGTTCAAGAGGGTATTTTTTTGTCATTTCTAACTAGATAGTATTTACCAACTTAATAACTAAACTTTGCTAGATTGGTGTGTATTAACATATATATGGCTATGTATAAATATGACTAGGCAAAAGAGTAAAACAATAATAAAATTAAAATCTTACTAAAATTTATCTGAAAGTTGCTTATTTACTTTTTTTTTTCCAAAAAATTCAAAAAAGAAATTGTGAAGTAACGCTTTTTTGAAATTTCCTAATACGCTTTGAAAGTTTTGGCATTGAAAATAATATGTTCCAGATGAATATCAAGGTTGAAAGGTTTTGCTATATATATATTATATATTATACTATATATATAATGATATATTATACTAATATATATATATATATAACAGGCTTATATTTTCATTGATAGAATTGGTAACTAGATAATTAAATATATAACCAATCATTGATAGAATTGTAACTAGAAATTAAATTTTCTTCAAAAAAAAAAAAAAAAGAAATTAAATTAATGATTGAAAATTCATTAGTTTTACTTGTATATTGGGTTTAATTTGAATTTTTTACTGGAGACGAAAGATAATTACTTCTGAAATTATTATCTGATAAAAAGAAAAAGAAAAAGAAAAAGAAGTGTTTGGGGAATGTCTGGACTGGAAGGATAGGGGAAAAGAAATATTCAGTATTAATTCTGCTATTATATTCCCTCTGCATTCTGCAACAGATGATAGAAACCCATCTTCACAACCTGGAAAAACCCACAGGCCCATGCAATGCTTCTTGCCTTAAGATCCACTTGGTTTTATAAACATTTTTATATAATATATATGATGCTAATATCAAAATTACCCTATGTGAAAAAAATGAAGCTTTCTATATTTTATTTCAAATAACTGCTGTTTGTATTGATTGAATGCCAAAAAATTAATTTAAATTTGAAATTTAAGAAATAAAGTTAAATGGTTTAAATTGCATTGTTAATAAAAAAAATTATGAAATTTAGAAATCCCTTTTGTTATTCGCAAAATTTTATTTTATTAATTATATATCCAGGGAAAACTTATCATGTTGAATGATCTATTCGCTAACCATCAAGTCCTCGGTACACCCAACCAGCCTAGCTCGTATATGTTATGTAAAAATACCTTGAAAAACCTCATTTAATATAGAGTTCTTATAAATCTCTAATAAAGATTTTAAAATCCATGATTTTATAAGTGAGCAAGTATTCGAAATTCACTTCAAAAAAATCAAATAATTTTGGTGTGATGGAACTGTAGCCATCTGCTGTGCTCCTTTATTAGTGTGCTTGCTTATCAGCAAAATGGAAACTACTAAAAATTGCAAGCCAAACACGTCCTTATATTTAGGCTGTGTCTAAAATACTCTTCTTTTATTTGTTTGGCGGATTTAATCACATTACTTTTGTTGTCTGAAACACATATATGGGCAGTGATCAGTATGTCCTGTTTCATTACAGGAGCACCATAAACTGACAAGACATATTTACCACTAGTAAAATTTTAAAAACCCATCTCTACTTACTAGTTGCAGTAAAGGTAAAAATTTGACTTTTACCCTATCCTAATTAAGGAAATCATCCAGGTAAACCGGCCTTATAAAACAAGACTATCAAAGTCTCAAATTCTCGCGAGATGATGACGAGATAATGATATGAAGTCAAAAGTTAAACAGAAAGAATTAATTTGATTTGTGAGAATTAGGGTTTCATGATAACCACAATGAGTGGCTATAATTGGAAATTACGAAACCCTAGACAGTGGAAAATAGTAGTAGCTCATATCTATATAGATAAATATAGTTTTATAGTATGTGTACACTTAGTAAATTTATAAGGTTAGTCGGCTCAAATGTAAATGAGTATTTTTTTTTTATTATTAGAGGGAAACAACGATAAATAATAATAAAAGGTTACAATTTTTTTAAATGACAACGAATCATCAATTGAATTTTTTTTTATAACCCTCGAGCTATAAAATGTAAAAATTTTTTGTTCTTCTAACATAATTCATTTTTCGGGATTGAATTTATGTTTTTAACTTTATAGGGATTGAGATCGCTTACCACCCCATTAATGCTTTGTTGGTAATTATTGATTGATTTTTAATAGAAATGGATGGTTGAATAGGCAAACATTTTTCATATTTGGGTCTGTATACGTACATATATATATATATATATATATAATATGGAAATGATTTAAACTTTAGGTTATGTAAGAAAGTTAGAGTTGGGTCCAAAGAAGAGAGTGTATGTGGGGAGGTTTTAGAAAGGCAAGTATGAGTTGTTGAGGGACAAATGCACACGTTAAAGTATGCAATAAATCTTCCCTTTTCTTCTCTCTTCTCCTCCAAAGAAAAGAAAAGGAAAAACAAAGGGTTAAAAAAACAAAAGACTTGTGTAGTAAAAAAGGAATCAAAAGTCTAATAACTTAAACTTTATTTCTCTTTCTCTTACTCTCACTCTTTCTCATCCTAGTTGTAGTACCCTTACCCTACCCCCACGTCCACAAAAGAGAAACCTCTATTTCTTTCTCTTTCTCCTCTGGTAGCCCCTCAAGTGTCATTTTCTCACATATACTTCACACAAAAGAAACACCATTCACTTCATACCTTGTCATTTCTTCTTTCTCTCTGTCTCTTTCTCACTGTTTTTATTTCTTCAATCTCAAATCTCTGCAATTACCCTCTCAAATTGATCCAAAAGCCCCATATCAAAGAAAACCCAGAAAATCTCTAAACCATTTGAACCCAAATCATTCATAATCCCCCCAGAAGCACAACCTGTTCTGGATTCTTGAGAAACATATTCACTACTGCCCTACCAGAGGAAGAAGAGCAGAAAAAAAAAGTAGAGAAATAAAAAAAGAAGGCCTTAGAAGCTTGTTTGGTTGCTCAGCCATGGAACTATTCCCAGCACAACCAGATTTATCTCTCCAAATCAGCCCACCAAACAGTAAACCCACATCAACATGGAGAAGAACGGAAGAAGAAATGGATTTGGGATTTTGGAAAAGAGCTCTGGACTCAAGAAATACAAGTATGTCTTCGATGGCAAAACCTGATAATAGTTGTTTTGAGCTTTCTTTATCAAATCCAAGGGTTTCTGAGTCAAACTCAAACAACCATTTTCATCTCCTTCAGAACACTACCAATTATAATAGCAGTAACAATCTTTTCCATTCCTTTCAACAAAACAACCAGTTCTATCCACATCATCATCTCTTTCAACAGCAGCAGCAGCAGCAAAACCAGCAGCAACAACAACAACAAGGACTAAGCCAAGACCTTGGTTTTTTGAGACCCATAAGAGGAATTCCTGTATACCAAAACCCTCCTACTCTTTCTACTACTCCTGCTTTTCCTTTCCCTCAACATCCTTTAGATAATACTACTTCTTGTTTGGCAACCAATAACTCCAACTCCACAAGCTTAAGTCCTTTTCAGTCTCAAAATTTGATGAGATCAAGATTGATGTCAAGATTTCCAGCTAAACGCAGCATGAGAGCGCCAAGAATGCGCTGGACTACTACTCTTCATGCTCGCTTTGTTCATGCTGTTGAGTTATTGGGTGGCCATGAAAGTATGCTCTTGCTTTTTTAGCTTTCTTTTCGTCTTTTAAACTTTTTTTTTTTCGTTTGGATAACATAAAAGGAGAAAGATAATGAAAGAAAATTGACCCATTTTTTCTTCTTCTGGTTTTGGGTTTCTTTCACTTATGGGGTTTTAGGGGCTACACCCAAGTCAGTTCTTGAGCTCATGGATGTGAAAGATCTCACATTGGCACATGTTAAATCTCACCTACAGGTAAATAATCTATTAATCTCAACTGGGATTTCCGCAATTTCAGTTTTAAATTAAAAAAAAAAAATACAAAATGTTTGCATTTAGTGTTGTTTGTTTGCTAGTCTTCAAATGATGCAGGCGTTAATGGTACTTATAACCTGTAATCGCCTTTTAATAGCCTACATTACTGGAAGGTTTTAATACATAAATTACAAATTCCAATGTTTCCCTGCAGAGGGTCTCTCAAATCCTTAGCACTTCTTTTTCTACTAGATCTGATGGTGCTGCTAGCTAATAAACAGCTTTTTGCTTGGAAGAACGAACCAGACCAAGTAAATATCAATAACACACACACACACCAACAGACAGAGAGAGATAGAGAGAGAGTGTATGTGTGTGTATTATCGATTTCAGAAATCAAGTAAGACAAAGCCCGAGGAATTCAAAATCAGTCATAGCCAAGCCAAGACAAGCTTACACTCAGTCCAATTATTTTTCTTTTTTAAAACTTTTCTTTTTCTTATACCAATGGAAAAACTAAAAATAACAAAAAAAAATACAAGTACAAAACACCATCATTTCTCAATGATATCTTTCTCAGTTGGGTTTCTCAACCACACTTTCCTAACCATGGTTAATTACATATGCATGTGTCTTCTTTTTTAAAATATATCTATATATATGCATTTATTTGAGCATAAATGCTTCTGTTTGTCATATGATATTTATATATATACATATCACTCACTTTTTACAGTTGGTACTTGCACTGCATTTTAGACCATTTCTTCAGTATATTGAACAGTATATTGGTCTTCTTTTTCTGTTTTTATCTTTGTCTACAAATGCATTTTTTTTCGTTTGACAATTCTAAGGATATTTTTAATTATTATTACCCTAATAAGCTTAGTGTTATACTAATTATATCTTCTACAAACTGAGATTGTTTCTGAAATCTAAAACTGCCTGCAGATGTATCGGACGGTAAAGACCACAGATCGAGCAGCAGCTTCTTCAGGTTAACTAATGGCTAATTATTCTTTTTCGCACTTGTATTATGCAAGATTAACATATTGATCTAACCAATGAACCATAATTTAGTGGTAATAGAGTCGTCTCTCGTGTCAGACAGAGCTCTTGATTCCAAATTTCAGTCGCAGCTTATTTATCTTGCTAAAGTCTAGATTTTAGTTTGGTTATTTTGTTTTTAAAAATACCCTTTTTTTATTTTGCATACATGCAGGGCAATCAGATGTATTTGATAATGGATCATCAGGAGATACTTCTGAAGATTTGATGTTTGATATCCAAAACTCATCAAGAAGGTCTGAACTAACAATGCAGCAAGGAAGAACAAGTGGTAATGAGCAGGACAAGGACTATCAGGGTCTATGGAGCAATTCTTCCAGGTGAACTTAAAATCCTACAATCTTTTTGCATGTTTGTGCGTTAAATATACTGCTAAGTTGTAGAATAAATTAAGGTTAGGACAATTAAAAACAAAAGATGAAATCTATAACAATCTTTTTTTTAATAAAATAAAATTTTGCTGATAAAAAAAAGAAACTCATGGAATATCTGAAATCTATCTGAAAATTTACTTACATTATATGGCATGGTTAATATGATAATAATACTATATAGGGAAAATATGGGTTGTTGTATAAAAGAGGTTAGCCATTGCATAAAGCATCCCACATCTGTCCTTTCAGGGCGGAGTTAAACTTTAGAATTTGGAGTCCAAAATAAATTTCTCAATAGTTATACGACCAAAACGAAGATCAAAATTTTTTGTATTAAATTATAAAGCAAAATTTAAAAAAATTCTGGAGTTTAGGGCAGCTCGGGCTTCCCTAGTCCCCTCTCTCCGTCTCTGTGTGCATTACCACATACATCTAGTTCCCCCCTATTATTGCAGAGAGGCTGTTTCTATAGCTTGAACCCATGAATTCCCAATTACAAGCTGATATAGATATTTTAGATCAAGTATAAAAATAAATATAAAATGATATTAGTGAATAAATATTTAAAGTAATTTCCATTTATTAGTGGGTGTATGAAATTAACAGAGAGATTTCCTCCGTGTAATTAATATTTTTTTGATATTTTGAGATAAGAAAATGGAAAAATGTTGTTGTATCATGCCACTGAATTAAGGAACTAATTAGTTAAGTTATATGATAATATTTATATTGAAAATATCTCATCTGAAGAAGCATAAAGACAAAATCATACCGAAATTTTAATTACCTTTCTTTGTTTGAAATAGTTGCTTGTCCTAAGGATAAAATAGAAGATGCTAAGACATACTCTACAGAAATATGTACTTCATCGTATAAATACCAGACTGATTACAATAAAATACAGTAAAATACATATTTGTACAAAATACGTTAATGGAAGAGAGTGAAAGATGATAATTGCTATCTTATCATTGATCCATTATATGGTTTTCCTTTTTCTTGCCTTTTTTTCAAATGAGTGAATCTAACCTAACCTAAAGTCTTTGGAATTCGTGCATTACTATATCTACGTGATTATAAAGTAAAACTATAGCATGTTGGACTAAATAATTTAAAGAAAAACAAACTTTATTTTTTTTGGGGCAATGATTCTATCTTATACTATTATTATAGGCTCTCTCTCTCTCTCCCTCCCTCCCTCCCTCCCTCCTTCTTGGTGCACAAAAACACCCACTGCATAGGAACATAGTTACATGCAAGAAGCCACAAAAAGAGGTTTTATATATAAATATATATTGAAATGAAATGATGATTTCACTGCTTTGTTGTGTCTGGTGAGGACCATGAAGACTGAAACTCCACATGATGGGGTAATTATGTGGTTTGCTCTATTTGTGGGTGAAAAGGAAGTAAAAGAATAACACTCTTTCCTACTATTCCAAGGCAGAGAAACACATTCACCTAAAAAAAATGGAGATATCTCTTTCTCTTGGATTTTGTGGGCTCAATTCAAAAATGGGTCCTACAACTAGAAAACTTAGTGTCAAAGATAAACCCCCTATGATGGACCCATTAGTGGAAATCTTGGTGCCAAAGCTATATGCCCTTTGAAACTTCCTTATAATCTGTTGTTCTGGGTAATGGGCTATCACATGGGTTGAGTTCAACTTTATCTCTCAATCACCAATTTTAATAAAATTTTTGTAAAGTTAAGAGGGAACTATGAACAAGACAGTAAAAGATTGCTTTCTTTTCTCAGTATTTGCTTTTTTTCTTCTTCTGCATGGCTTCCACTGATAAGAAATATTCTCTAAATCTGTTGGTTTATAGCAGGGAAGCTTGGTTGCATGTGAAACCGAAGGATTCTGGTGGAAACTTATCATCCCTTCATGAGGTACTAACTGACTATGCCAAATCTCTATATCCCCTTAGTTTCCCAAATTGTCCTTATTCTTTGAAAAATGTTTTATTCTCCATGCACATATATATGGTTCTTGGAATGATTCAAGAAAAAAGCAGATGCCTTAATTTTCTTTTGCTTTCTTTTTCTTTCTTGATTGAGTCATGCAAATTAGAAAGAAAGAAGAAAGGCATAGGCCTTTCAAAAGCTCCATTCAAGGGGGTGTTTAGTCATTTTTACAAATTACCTGAGGAAAATGGAAGAAAAGTCTTCCCTTTTGATGTGGAAAGCTCATCCTTTTTTTAGTCCCAACAAATTTAAATTATTTAATTGTTTACATTATTTTGTATCTGCATTATTAAACTACACTGCACCCTCTAGCTTTCACCTATAACCTTGTAGTCCCATTTGTTTTTTGAATCTTGTAATGGGTTCAGGTCAATAAATTTACTGGCTAGGGTCAAAATGTACAATAATATAAAATACAGTATTAATTATGAATACTGAATAATTGTATTAGAGAGCTGCACACTGTACACAGACTTTATCAGGCATTCAAAAATGTACTCTCTCTCTCTCTCTTCTTTTTTCTTTGATAAATATTCTATTATTCCCTTAGTCAAAATGTCCTTTTGAATCCCACTTTCACACGCTTCCCTTATAAGAATTGATTGCCCTGTCTCAGTTCTTTATTACATTTTTATTTTTGTAACCAGCAGGAAATGGATCCAAAGTGCTTAAGCTATGAAAGAATATCACAAGTGAGCTCATCAAGCCTTTCAGGGACAAGTCCCAACCCCAAGAAGCCTAACTTGGAGTTTACCTTGGGCAGGCCACATTGAAAGAAAAAAAGAAAAAAATCTACTTAAATTTATATATTTTGTACTATCATTTTGAAATCATTATCTCTCTGATGAGAAGAGGGCTGGTGAAGAGAATCAGGTACCCAGCTGAGAAAATCAGAGAAAAGAAAGGAAAAGAAAAAGAGAAAGAGAAAAAAGAAAAGAAAAGAAAGGAAAAGAAAAAGAGAGCTAAAGAAAGACAAGGAGACAAGAAAGACAGAAAGCAACAAAAGGATGAGTGGAAAAAGCATGTCTTTCCTGTCAAGCTGTGTGAGATCCAAATCAACATATTATATTCCTACGTAAATATGAAATCTAATTGATTTTGTTGTTTTGCACTAAGCGAGAGAGAGAGAGAGTGAATGAAAAAAAAGAAGAAAAAAAATTCTTAGAAAGAAAGAAAAAAAAAATGCTTTAGCTACATATCTTAAAGTATGAAGTGATCCTTGGTAATTGTAATGGAGCACTTTATTACATTTATAAAACATATTTTGTAATTTTACCAAAGGGAATTGGCTCTCTTTCCATCTCCATGTATTCATTCCCACATTCTTTACACTTTATGAACAAAGAAAAAGAAACCCTTTATTCAGAATATGAGCTAGGAAAGGACTGGTAAATAAAGGCATAACTTTTTTTTTTTTCTTTTAAAAAATTTTTTTTGAAACATCCTAGCTTTCTTAGTTAACCTAAAGCGGAACTCCATTTTGATTTCCCTTTAGCAGTAACTTTATTATTCTTTAATTAATTAACTAACGTATTGCATGAATAGCTTTCTTAGTTAACCTAAAGCGGAACTCCAATTTGATTCCTTTAGCAGTAACTTTAATTATTCTTTAATTAATATAACGTATTGCATGAATATAATATATATATATATATATATATATATATATAAAATATATACTAATCCATCGATAATGCCGAAATTCTAAAACCTTTGATGTCATTCTAAGAACATTTAATTATTCTGTAATGGATTAACTTATCATTGCACTTATATATACCATCAGATAATGCCGAAATTCTAAACCTTTGATGTCATTCTAAGAACATTTAAATTATTCTTGTAATGATTAACTTTATCATTGCACTTTAAATTTAGTATGGATAAAGATTGGACTGTCATAATTTAACTTTACAAAAAGAAGATTGCATCTTGCAATTTGTGACCTTATATGGAGGGAAGCTTCTTTGAAAGTGCCTAAAGTTGATCAATAGTAATCTTAAGTATAAGTTATAGAATTTAATTTATTTATTAATATTGAATTCTATAATTACTATCTTTTTTAGTTTCTAATGATTATTTACATTTATATTAAATATGAATAAAAATTTAAAAGTTCATGTTTTTAGAATTTGTACACGGATATATATATGTAGTGGGGAAGATTAAGAATTTTAGGGTAGTAACTTGGTTTGGAATATTTCAATTCAAATATCGAACTTATAATTCATAATAGATGTTCAAAATATAAATATAAAATTAAATATATTTTTATGATAATATTTTTATTTGGGTAAAATAATGCAGATAATCTTGATCATGAACTTTTGGGTGGACATTGGATGCTAGAAATTATCTTCGGGTTCAACAATGACATCTTGATTTTGATCCATTTTCAGATATTCTACAGAACCTTACTGTGTGGATTAGATTTTATTTTCTACCTATCGAGTATTATGACCCTTGATTTTTTTTATTTATTTTTTATTATTTATTTATTTTTTATGCATGTGGATGCAAAAATTGGAAAACCTATTTGTGTTGATACCAATACGAGGTTAGTTTCTTGGTGCAGATATACTCGTGTGTGTGTTGAGCTTGATTTAACTAAGCCTCTCACATCTAAGTTCCACCTAAGAAGAAGAATTCGTCGAGTAGAGTATGAGGGTCTTCATCTTGTTTGTTTTTTATGTGGTTGCTATGGGCATTCGTCTGACCAATGTCGTTCTGAGGAAACCATTGGCTTTGTTGATCATGGTGAATCTAATGTTGTGGGTCTAGGGCATCATGGTCCATCTCATTCTTATTGTCTTCTTGAGAACCAACTGATAAATCGGCAGTTGTAGAAGATTATGGTGAGTGGATGTTGGTTAAGAGGGACAAATGTAATCCTTGCTTCCAGGATTGTAATTTCCCAAATAATCAATATGATGTGAATTAGAAGGATAGGGTAGGAGGCAGAAGAGCATCAAATCCCAACATTAGGTGTTTTAGGTTTGGGATTTTGACAGAGAATCCCATTAAATACGGAATTACTAATAATCAATTAACGCATTTTAAGTGAAATGAAGAGCAAGATGATTTGCATGTGCATAGCAAGACTAATGGGTCGGGCTTTTCTAATAAAGCTTCTTCATCTGAACCTAGAGGAGGCAAGCTTTCTCTTACTAAGGCTACTAAGAATATTGCACGAGCTCCTATCTCTCATGTGTCCCAGCCTTCTAATCAATTTGAATGGTGTGGTCCGACTCTTTATGTGCGAAATAATCCATTTGGTTCTCGTTTAATTTATTGGTTCTTGTTAAGCAGCTGTCAAGGCTAAACATATTGTTGTTCCTAGTACTAAGACTAATACGGGTTAGAAGAGGGAGTTCATCAGACTGATAAATCTAACTCTGGCCATTTTAATAATGATGTTTTCCCTATCCCTACACTCTAAATATTAAGGATGCTTTAATGGATGATGAGACTCACTCTGATGAGAATATTGATGTGGTTGCATACAGGAACTATGTCGTGTCCTTGTGAACTTGAAGAGCGATTTTTGGAGGCTCTGAGAGACTATCTAGCTGAGACAGAATATTTATTGATTATTCTTCTCTCTTGAATTTCATTTATGGCTTTATGGACGGTAATGTTTCATTTATGGCTTTGGGTTGAAGAATATTTTTTTTTCACTCTTCTTTGGACTCATAAACAAATGTCTAGACCAACATAGAAGAAGATTTGATGCATTTCATAATGTTGACAACCTAATTTTAAGATATAATACCACCTCCTTCAAAACCCATTCCAAAAGATCCCAATTAAGGGGGTCATAGGCTTTTTCCAAATCTATCTTGATAGCCATAAAACCTGTGGAACCCTTAGTCATTTTCACAGAATGGATAAGTTTGATAAATAACCACATTGTCAATGATTTGACGACCAGGAATAAAGCTACACTGCTCGTGGAAAGCTGATAAAATCCCTTTTAAATAGGTTTGTGGATTATTGACCTTCGAAATTAAAACTAGAATGGTTTGATTAATCTTGACAAGAAGAAGAGCGCCATGAAAAATATCAATAATACTATTAATAACCGTATCGCCAATAACCGGACACAGCTACTAATAAAAACCAACCTGAAAATCATTTGAACCGAGAGTTTTGAAATGCACCATTCCTAATAAAGCTTGATCAACTTCATCTTTCGTGAAAGGACTATCTAAATAAGATAAAGTATCAACTGGGAGACGAGGGAAGCAGCTTGACCGGAGGACAAAAAAGTTTGACTCCTTTGTATGAAGATGATAAAAGAATTCTTTGGCCATATCTTCAAAAGAGACTGGTCCGAGACCCAAAATCCATCTACATCTTACAATTGTTCACTAAAAAATTTATTCTGGTGGGCTAAGATTGAGAGATGATAGAACCTAATTTTCTGCTTGCAAAAAACTATCCATTCCTCCCTGGACCTTTGAAACCAGTTAATTCCTCCGCCTCCAAAATAGATTGAAGCTTAGCTTGAAGTTTACTCTCCAGACGAATTAGCTCTCCTATTACAACGCAGCCAAATTTGAACTCCTCTAATTCAACTTAAAAGCCTACGTTTCTTGCCGAAAATAGTCATATTCTAAGTACTTAAATCTCACTATAGATATTCCAATTCTTGAAAGAGTGGCCGATCAGAACTCCAACTCTGACGAACAACATTAATAAAGGTATGATGTTTAAGATTAGAGAAGATGATGAAGGTGGACAATTGGACTAGCATAAACAAAGGCCATATTCCAAGATTCACCAATTCAGATTAGAGAAGATGATGAAGGTGGACAATTGGACTAGCATAAACAAAGGCCATATTCCAAGATTCACCAATTCAGATTAGAGAAGATGATGAAGGTGGACAATTGGACTAGCATAAACAAAGGCCATATTCCAAGATTCACCAATTCAGATTAGAGAAGATGATGAAGGTGGACAATTGGACTAGCATAAACAAAGGCCATATTCCAAGATTCACCAATTCAGATTAGAGAAGATGATGAAGGTGGACAATTGGACTAGCATAAACAAAGGCCATATTCCAAGATTCACCAATTCAGATTAGAGAAGATGATGAAGGTGGACAATTGGACTAGCATAAACAAAGGCCATATTCCAAGATTCACCAATTCAGATTAGAGAAGATGATGAAGGTGGACAATTGGACTAGCATAAACAAAGGCCATATTCCAAGATTCACCAATTCAGATTAGAGAAGATGATGAAGGTGGACAATAGGACTAGCATAAACAAAGGCCATATTCCCTTCACATACGCAAGAAAGTACTTAGAATTAACATCAACTCCCTGAAGCGAAAATAACTTGGCTTGCTGGCGCTTCTTGATGTCTTCCTTTTCTAAGATAAAGTTCCATTCCTTTCGTAAAGCCAAATAATCTTTCGGATCCATGGTACTCGGCACATCTTACAACAATCGATTCAATAGAGCCTTACGATTTCGCTACTCTCGATTGCGACCTCTCCCCCCATTCCGCTAGAGCTTCTGCACAACTATTGTTTCTGTCGGTAACGAACACATTACCAAAACGGTTCTGTCCCAAAGAGATCAGCTCTGTAATAACCTCCTCTAGCAGCCATGAGTTATCAAATCTGAACCGCCGACTACCCCCCAGCTCCTCTAGAGTTTTTATTTGAAAAAATAATGGCTTGTGATCACTGACCGGAGCTATGAGCATGAAATAATTGGAACCCGTAAAACGATTAGAGGAAGTGATAATCTATTCACATACAAGTGTAATTTAAATACATGATTACAGACTCTTCTAATCCTTGTTTCAAGGAACTTGTATATATCTAAATATACAAGGAACTTGTATATATCTAAATATAACACAATAGAATTTGAATAAGTCTTTGTAACAATTACGTTGTTATCTTATCTAATACGCCCCCGCAAGATGGTGTACAGTCTGCAACACCAATTTTGTTTCTGAAATTGCTGATTGCTGTGAAAGATAAGGGCTTTGTTGTCATATCAGCAAGTTGGTCTTTTGCCAAGATATGAGTGACTCAAAGAGTTCCATTTTGCACTTGTTGCCGTACAAAATGATAATCTATGGCAATGTGTTTCATGCGGGAGTGAAAGACCGGGTTTGTTGCAACATAAGTAGCTCCCAAATTATCACAGTAGATCACCGGAGATTTGGGTCTTGGAAACTGCAATTCATCTAATAAATTTCTGACCTAGCCAAATCAGCTACTGTGGAGGCTACGAATTTATATTCAGCTTCAGTTGAGCTTCTTGCTACAGTTTTCTGCT